ATATTAAATGTAAGTACTTATGAATATGTAAATATATATGTATGTGTTGATATATATATATATATATATCTGGGTGTGTTTTATTATAAGATTCATATATGTGTGTGTTAATGTGTTCAAATTGTATATGCATTTGTATATATACATATTTGTATTTAAGTCTATTAGTATGTATATATATATATTCCTTCTTTCTATTTCTAGGTATGTTTATATATTTACGTATATACAAATAATTATATGTATAATATATATATATATATATATACATACATACATACACACACATATATATATATATATATATACATATATATATATATATATATTTATATATATATATACGTCCTGGATTTGGGATGAAGCCAAACACCGAGCCGGGCGAGAGAGAACTATATATATATATATATATTTATACAGTTTTTTATATGTGTGTGTATGTATGTATCTGAGTATCTATGTATGTATGTGACACATTTTTCTATATTCATTTATATATATGTGTATGTTATATATGTGTGTTTATGTGTTTATGTATATGTATATGTATATTTCTATGTAAACATATATATATATATATATATATCTCTCTCTCTCTCTCTTTATATATATACATATATTTATATATATTTATATATATTTGTATATACACTCGCACACACACACACATATATATATATATATATATATTTTCATCATATTATCATCATATTTATGTATCATTACCGCTATCATCACCATCATCGATTACCGTCATCGTCGTTATCATCATCATAGTCGAACCAATTGTTTAATTTTACATCTCTTTATTTATTGTGTGTACAAGCATACATAGGTCTACGTCATATTGTATATATCATGAATATCACAAATATTTTGGCAACATACCTATTGAATTGAGAACATCTTCACACGCGTACCTTCATCCTTACTATACAATTAGGCTTAGCATGAATATACTTCCTTTGTTGAATTCATCTATGCTGCCCTGTATCCTGGCTACTTCTCGTATGAATTTTTCGATGTGTTCTCATATATCCCCAACATTGCTCTTCTCGTTATTCTCCCGTACAGATGCAGAAACCAAACGGACCCACTATGCCCGGGGGCAAACACAAGCCTAGACCCGCAAACCAGAAGGCCAAAAAACCCATGCCTACGCCCATGAAAAAGCCTTTGACTGTCCAACCAGGTACCAAAGGGATCCAATGCAATAGGATGTGTTAATCTATGTGTGTGTGTGAACACGCCCAGTACACGCAAGTAGTCACTGTACAGGAACATATTAACTCACACCTACACAAGCTTTAGTGCATCATAGTATATATCATACAAGGGTCATACATGTGGATGTCAATGTACAAACACACATATTTATATAGAAGGCGTCTACGATACATACAACTTCGGTACAATATTATTTTCCTTCTAAACATGAAGGTGTCTCTGAAGGTGGGAACATACTTAGCGGGGGCGAATTTAACTTCGACCCTGCCAAATGAAATGTAGCTAGATATAAGTAATGATATCCCTGCCATAAATGTAACTAGATATAGGTAATGATATCCCTGCCATATGAAATGTAACTAGATGTAAGTAATGATATCCCTGCCATATGAGACGTTACTAGATATAAGTAATGATATCCCTGCCATATGAAATATAACTAGATGTAAGTAATGATATCCCTGCCATATGAAATGTAACTAGATATAAGTAATGATACTCCTGCCATATGAAATGTAGCTAGATATAAGTAATGATATCCCTGCCATAAATGTAACTAGATATAGGTAATGATATCTCTGCTACATGAAATGTAACTAGATATAAGTAATGATATCCCTGCCATATGAAATGTAACTAGATATAGGTAGTGATATCTCTGCTACATGAAATGTAACTAGATATAAGTAATGATATCCCTGCCATAAATTTAACTAGATATAGGTAATGATATCCCTGCCATATGAAATGTAACTAGATGTAAGTAATGATATCCCTGCCATATGAGATGTTACTAGATATAAGTAATGATATCCCTGCCATGAATCGGTGCATAACCTACATACATGTGTACTCCCAAACGAACATCCATAAACAATTGAGTATGCTGCACCACCCCTATTCTGAAGAGAAAGTAAATGTAGTGTTAGGGTACAGTGATGCACAAATGATATGATCGGATGTGAAGTAGGGGTACGACTAAGTGGGAAATATCCTCGTAGAGGGTGTATATACATATACTCAACTAAGGATGGGTTTAACTGTGTCATTTCCACTGTAGATGACAGTATAGGCGGGGGTGAAGAACGAACCGATGACTACGCGTACAGACACAATATATATATTAATATTCTA